GCTTAACATCATAACCCCTTTCCTTGGTAAATTGGAGAGTCTTGAAGGGATGAATGCACTGGACAAATGCTGTGGGGGGCGTTGATCAACGCATCCTCAATATTGCCCACAGCACAGAACCACAGTGTAGTCCCCCAACAGGAAACCAACACCACAATCCTGCATTTCCCCATGTACTCTCCTGCACATACTTTCTATCTCATCCCCAATTTGAAGAGATTTGGGGCTCGGGGAGAGGGTCGAAATCTGGCTGCATTGACAGCTGGGATTGAAAAACGTGAGTTAGAGGATGATGATCTAGATAGTACTTTGATACTTCCACCTATGTAATGTCAGACAGGCTTACAAAATGTTCTATTTACCCATACCTCTTCATTGGTGGCTTCTTGACACACATGAAACAAGTCCTTAGACTTCTTAATGATGTGCCCTTCCAGACCTGTGTAAGTGCCCACTATGACTCGAACTGTGTTGCCAATCCAAAAGACATGCTCAATGTCCTGGAGTTGAAATTCCAGTTCTTGTCCATGTCCATTGAGGATGAACTTTAAGCATGTGGAGCCAGATGCATGGTTTGTTGAAATGACCATGCTAATTTCTTGACAGACTTCTCCTGTGATAGACCTGGCTGAATCACCAATGCACAAGAACTGCAGTGAAAAGATCTTCAGAGTTTTTTTGAAGAAAGGTACATCACATCCAGACTGGAGATGTAGTTGAATGTCATTAGTATGAGGGGAGGCGACCAGCTCCAGACTGTCACAGCAAAAGTTCTTCAGCAAAAGTCCCATGTAGTATCATTCTCCTTTGTACAACCATCCCACAACTTTATCATCCTGAAGAATGTCAGACACTGTCTTGTCATTCAGCAGGCAAGCTTGGTCAAGCAGTGCCACAGATCTCTTAGGGATGTCATAGGGGAAGTTGTGTGGGGGAATTAATACTGAAATGAAGTTGTTTGATTGTTTGGGGTTGAAGACATAGCCAATGTTGCCCTTATATTTTCCCTGTGTGATCTTCACCCACCTGGGGTTGGGAAGTGTAGAGCATGAATGTTCGACTGCTGCTCATTCTTCCTCCAAGATGTGAGTATAATCTTTCACAGAGGAAGAGAGTAATTTAAGTGATGTCACAATCGTTCTAGGGCTATCTGAGACAGCATAGAGCTGGCTTGGTATCCAAGGTGATATGGTAACTGCAATACCATTGCTCCTGAGATGTTCAGCAACACATTGCATAGCAGATCCTGGGATACATTCAGTGCAATGCTAGGTCATTAAAATATGCACTCACTGTGAACATGGAGAAGGTACATCCTGCTTGGGACAGCACTGGAGGATGAGACTGCTCTATGACAGGTGCTTGGGGCATTCTCATACCTGTTGGAGATGTGATTGATTGCTGTGGATAGCCTATCCTTGTCTGAAAAAGGTCCTGGCAAGCATGTAACGTTCAATGACTGCATAGAAGGGCCATCATCACCATCCACCTGCGAGTTTTCCTCCTCTGCCTCCTCCTCCTCCTCATCATCATCATCAGATGCCTCATCATCAATAAAGGGATGTTTTGGCTACATGTATTATTTAGTATAGATGTCATAATAAAACGAATATATTTCTTACTCTTCGGACACATGTGCTTTTCGAGCGAATGGCTGCCTTCAGGGCAGACACAGATATGGCAGAATCTTTCCACAGGGTAACAACTGTCGATGTACTGGAGGCGCCCTAGGGTACATGCCTGGCCTTCAAGGCAAGAAGATTTGCTAAGGCAAGGCAGTTATCATTGTTGCCGGAGAACAATGCGTCACAAGCTTCTTTCCAATCATCTGTGTTGTATTGATTGCCCAAGTACAAGGCAAAGGCTGCCTCCATCTGAGGGTAGGTCATCTCAGTAGTGAGGTACTGTTCCAGAATGTGCCATGTGCCATGATCTGCCAGCAGTGATGATGCTCTCATCCCTGTTATCTGCATTAGAATAAATACAGATGACATGATGCAACAACTAACCTTCATGATTCCTGATGCATTTCGAGGTAGGTTCGTCATCATGAGACTTGGATGCCGCACATTTGGACATCCTGTAGTTGACATCAATTACTTGAACATATCCATAATCCTGTTGCAACAGGAATGCTTACAGTGCAAGTGCTTGATTCTGTATTCTATCTATCCTAAAGACTACGGCCTATGTATGTCTGTCTATCTATAGGTGTATTGAGTAGTGGGTCATGGAAAGAAGAGATGATAATGTGCAGGAACTGTATTTATAGTGAACGACTTAATGTGGAAGCACTTAGCAAATGCAGGACAATCACAGAGACAACATTGTGGTCCCTCCAATGTTTTATGCTAAGACCTAGTAGAACAAAAGTCCTGCCCACATGTACCAGTAACTAGTGTACACGACAACAGTAATTGTAAAGTAGTGCTTAATACAAGAAATGAATTCCTATCTTATTCTGTCACTTGCGTTATGAGTTTGGAAAGGGAATTGTGATTAAAGGACACACCCTTGATATACAGAACAACTACAAGTTCAAACCCAGCTGGCCATGGGCACTGAGTATGATTTTGGGCTGAGATTGAATCTCATAGTTGTTCCGTATATTAACCTGCATCTGTCATAAACATTTCTTTCTTTTTGACTTCACCACCATTTCAACACTCTCACTACATAGTTGAATGTTACTTTGAATCCGACTTAAGTACTAGACTTTGTGTGCCATAGCATTGTACTTTGAGAATAAAGTTTGATATAGTTATGCTTTTAGACTTTGACAGTCCCCAGTAAGAGTAACTAAAATACAAATGCTGTTAATGATAGGGGTTTAAGCCTAGACAGATGGTGCCTACGAATTGTCATATTGATGTGTGCCTGATTATCGATTTGAATTGATACACTGTGCATAGATTCTTTCATCATATCAGAATCTATCTAACTTCCAAGAAGAATCACAGCATGCATGTCCTTAGAATCATCACACAACTTTTCATGTCCCAGTATGATGGACTTGATGTGTTCATCATGTTTCCCATTATCCACTGGCCTCTCAAGGACTCCGCCCCTCTGATCCTTGATACATTTCTCTAGTAAGAGATGGACATCATCTGGCAGGTCCTGTGGTTGATCCCTGAACTTTGAATATTCCTGCCAGACATTTCCCAGCGATGCCAATGATAATGTTTTGTGTTGCCCAAGGACCTGCAGCCTAGTGGGTCAGCTTGTCTTGTCTCTGACAATAGTACTCACACATGCTATCATCCCCATTGCGATAACTAGCTGGACTATTCCCTATATGAAGTTCTTCAGCACTGATAGAGAATGGTCATCTGCTGACTTTGCAACACTGTCTTGTTTGTGACACCAGATGGAGATGGTTGGTTCCACATCGTTTACAGACGTTGCTCCGAAGATCAGGCTGTGGTGTGTGCCATTGTATGTCTTACATTTGTCTGTCAGATCAAAATTCTTATTTCAAGTAAATAGTGCACTGTCACAGTTTGTACTTGGCCTGTATCAGCATGTTGCAATATTTGTTTCAGTGTTCCTTCATTTTTATCAAAAACATAAATAACTCCTGTGTCACTACCCCCAACTACGAGGGTAGCCTTCCCCCCAAAAACAACCTGCTTCAGAAATGTCTTGACTGGGTTGGTGTTATAGGTGCAGATACACACTGCATCATCCAGGCAATGTAAGCTGAATCCATTCACAACATTGTCCATCAGGAACAGCATTTGGCCTGCATCTACAGAAGCATGCCCACTGTAGTGACATGGTAAGTGATTATCAATGATTGATGTAAATATCACTTACATTAATGGCCCAGCATTGTTTGTAGTGATGACAGCACCATCTGTGCCCCTAAGTGTATGTCTAGAATGGCCCATGGGACATTAGATGCACAGTAATCAGGTATGTGTGAACACTTACATCTCTCCATCATACATGCTGAAGACCAATATGTTTCTACTTGCAGCACAGTTGAAATTTATGGTGTGCAGAATGGTAGTAGCAAGCTCGACGCTGAAAATCAGTATCAATGGTCCCTTGAAGTCAAACACCCAAACTTGAATGCATCTGTTGCACATCCCACTCACAATTTGAGTGTCATTCCTGGTATAATCACATGTAAGACACATGATCTCCTTACCCATTCCAACCCTCCTTGATATTTTGCATCAAAGTCCTGCAAACCTTCCCCTTGCTGCTGCCAGATTCCTATGAAACCGAGTCCTGTGCCATAACATAATGTCTCCTGCATTGCCTCATGGCAGGTAATCCAACATGTGCAAGTTACCAGATCTGCTGGGTTTCAAATGGCTGGGGTTTGAGGTGGGATTGGGAGCTGAGCTTGCCTTTTAAGGTCCCAAATCCTCATTCTGTCAGATCCTGGTATGTAATAAGTCAAGTCCTATTTCATCATGCATATTGAACTCACCCCCACTTGCTAACATATAGCCATTGCGAGAGACTGCTAAGCAATTGATGGCATTTGTATGCCCGACAAGGTGCCCTTCGAGACAATAATTGTTGGAATGACTGGTGGGGAGTAAAAACATTGGAGGCAATAAAGTGGGTCTATCCATTGTTATCTTGAAGAACTTATATTGACTGACTGACACAATCAGGTCCATAACAAACTGGAAGACAATCAATAATGACATCCTGCCTAACAACATTATCCTGGTAGGCATCTGATCAACACCTGAGCTAATCACCCATATAAAAATGTCTTCTCAGCTCAGTTGGGTATCAGGTCAGTCATGCATTCACCCTCTGTGCCTGTCACTCCTTTTTATGAGCCTGAAGGTCCTCCCCAAGCCCTCCCATTATTGATGTATCACACAGAGATGTTTTGTCCAACTATAATGTCAATCTCAATATCTTGGCAAGAAGAAATTGTTTTCTTCCCTCATAGTCTCCCAAGGTGAACTGCAACTCCTTTGCATGTGTTCACTACCCCGTCTCATGCAGTGACACCCATACTTTCTAGCATGCCTACTCCCACAGTTGCCAAGGCTGTTTCATTTTCTGCAGAGCAGATCAGTCAGGTGTCAATTGGTTCTTCTTTGTCATCCATAGCTTCCCATGAATCAAAAATTCCCAAACCAGACAGTGAGGCTGGATGTCCTAGCCATGGTGGATACAACTTGGAAATAGCACTCAAGTGGGATGCTGGCCACTTCAAGGTGTTCAAGGTGAGCTAGCACTTAAGTAATAAGATCTCCTTGAAACTAATGACATTAGGAGTGCATTCATGCTTCAATCCAGAAACACTGCGACACTAGCAAGAGCAAGACATATCAAACCCCTTCTGCAATAATTGCAGTCCAGACAGAGGTACATCTAGAATTTCTATATCTGTTTGATGCTAACTTTGTTTGAGGTCCTATCTCACTTTTTGGAACTCAATGATTATGATGGCTGTTGGCCAATTGGTGATATAATTCAGATGCAGCTGAAAAACACTGCTGTGAAGCAGCGACAAAAGACTACAGTACACAAATAACCTATGAATGCATAATGTAGCTTTGGTAATAATTGAAGAACAATTTGAAATGGCTGATACCTAATACTAATGCACTATGACTGTAATATGACACACTTGTACATTATTAATAGAGTTTAACAACATTGTAGTCACATTTGGTCACTGCAATGCAACCATTGACATTTGGTAAGCTCTCTTCAGATAAAATTCGCACTACTGAATGATTTGAATTGCAAGATGTCCTGCCTAATGTCTTATCTCTTCTTGGATGGTGCAGACGATGATCCCATCACCCCAGCTGTAGAGTCTTACCCCCTTAACAAGCTTTGTCCAGCAGTGGCCCTGCATACGTATCCCCCCTGGCCTGTTATCTCTGCCAGTTTAGATCCTCGTACATCACTACCATCACCTACTACATCGCTTGGCAAAGAGTTTGGGATGGATTTATTTGATAACCCCTGGGGAATTGCTCATAGGAAGAGAGATGACAATGACCAGCCGGTGGGTCATTGTGTACTTCATTGCTTTTCTGAGCTAACAAATGTTCAGCCAAATAAAATATTCCTCAAAGAAGTCGATCAGTTGTCCAGACTGTGGGATGATGTGTGTGAGTTAAACTTCTCCAAGCCTGATCTTTTGCTCTGCAAGCGGTGAATACAGGTACACTCATTAAATATCTCCTGTATTCATACTTAACTAACTTTCAGACCAATGCCAACTCACAAGAATCGAATTTGCGATCCATCATCAGGAAGTTCTTGAGCATGGCAAAGCCAATGCCCTCGCATCATTGAATGAGAATCATCATAATGAACTTGCTGACTTCCAGGTAGGGTTCTGTCCCCATGATGTTGATATCCTGACTTTCTGTGCCAGAATTGAATGGCATTGGGTATACATGAAGCACAACAGGAGGTGCACACAGAATGAGATATCCTATTAGCTAAACAAGACACTTTCTTTCAGTATGAAGCTAACATGGCAAAAAAGAAATTGTTGGCCAAGAAAGAAGTTGAGTTAGCCTGCCTTGCTGCCAGGTATAGCAGCAAGATAGCTTCATTGGATGTGCATATCAACATGTTTGTATGTGGAGCTTTCCTGATATATATACAGAGCCAGATGTGACAAGCAAACATCGCAAGTTCCTCTCCCTCCCTCCCTTCATGGCATCATGTTGTAGGAAAAAGACCTGTTGCCACATGCACAAATATTGTTGGGTTTTCAATAGTAAGCTCATGTCTCTATTGCACACCTCTATTTAGTCTAACATCACCCATGCCTCAGATTCCTGACACAAGTTCAGATTCTGATAGAGATGAGGGTTCTCAGACTTGTATCAGGGGGGCTGTGCCTCCCCTGATTTTGCTATTAAGTGATGTTCTGATCCAGAATGCCACCATTGGCATGCTTGTTGAGGCACTCGCAAAGGTTCTACAGCAGACAGCATCCCCAAGGGCAGCTCGATCCAAACTCAAAACCCATGAGACCCATATTGAGAATTTTACTGATGCCCAGCGCTGAAATAATAAGGTATGTTTTTCCCAACACAATTGACATTGCTAATGAAAAGCCAGGCCAATGTTTGGGAACTATTTTACACAGCATTCCATTTCATGAAAGATGATGAGTATATGCTTCATGTCACTGCATTGAGTGAAGCCATATCATGCTTTACACAAGGACTGGGTATGGGCCCTGACCCTCTCGAACTGCACTGGGATATGACAACCACACACAACTCCAAGTGGAACCAAAGAGTAATTGATATTCTGTGTTCTCAGTATACTTGCACATTTGAGACGAACCAATTGGCCTCAAGATCTCATCAGTCCATCAAAAACGATATTACAAAGAAATTTAATCAATGCCGCAGTTTCTGGAGAAAAGCCCAGTTTTGTGTGCTCAGTGATGGCACTCGTGAGACTATGCAAGAAGTAGGGGACCGACTCGTGGATCAGACCAACGAGCGATTGTGGGTCACAAGGGTCCTCACTTGCAGGGCGATGGTTAGTCATCTTTCTGATTGGCTTGAAGAGTGCTAAGTTGCTTTCTAGAAGTTCAAAACTCATAAAAAAGTCACATCAGCCCTGCTAAGTGACAGGATAGTGACTAGAAAGGATGACCAGGCTGTATGGGCATATCTACAATCCCTTGTGGAGACTCTCAGCAAAGATGGCATGAGCTCTGACAAGAGTGAGCATGAAGATGGCAAAGTTCAGGTGTTTCATCTGAAGAAAATGCCATGGAGAGCAGACATTGATCATGAGATGCATATCATTGATCAACAGCAGTTGGCAGGTGCTGCAAACTTCACTCCCTGTGGAAGCAAACCTGCAAAGCATTTTTGCAATGCAATCCAAGAGTCTTCTTGCCCAGCAATCGAAGGCTTACCAAGGGCGTTATACAATGAGTCATGGTTGAATGCCCAATCTCCTTCATTCACAGTATCTGACAAGAAGCTTCAGAGAATGGAAATTATTCTTTCCTGCTAGTGATCATATAGCTGCTGTTTGTATGTGTACTGATAGAATATAGTACCTCCTTGTATGTGCCACCTTGTACCCCCTTGCATCCACCATATTTACTGCCTTGTACCTATGTACTTCCACCCAACTCATGTAGTTTCAATTGTACTTCTAATATGACATAGGCAACTTGATCCGGCAAGTTTATGATGAGTGGGTGCTGATGCGATCAGCAGAGTTTTATGTTGCAGTTGTTCACTATATTAAGCACATCCTTTTCATCTCCTGCACTTTTCTTCTGATTTGAATGTTAATAGATAGATAGTTGTTATGTACATATTGGTCACAAAAATCTAGTACATTGTCTCACTCTGTCAGATATCCTCCCAGCATTCCAGCAAGGGTGCCACCTCACCCACCAATTAACAGATGTGGTTTTGTGCTTGGAATTGTTCTGAGGGAAAACAATCCACACTTCAAAATATCATCCACTTCCATACCTAACAATGCACCCTCAAGTGCCACATAGATGTGCTCGCATAATAGGTCAGTTGTTGGATGCCCCCCTTCACAATGATGGCAAAAATATTTGTTTATTGCCTTCTTTAGGCCACAAACAAGTTCTCTTTTCTTCGAAGAAAGGTGCCCCACATTCTGACTGCTGCTGGTGTCACTGGCAATGTTGGCCATCGAGATCTGTGGCTGGAAATGTCTTGAACATAGTAAGTCCACAAGCCTGTCTGTAAAAACTATGTTACTAACCTCATCACCCACTACATCAAGGCTTTGGATTGAAACATCTTGTGCACTTCCAATGGCCCACTGGGTGATTTGGGTCTGTCAATGGACATGGTGGATCCCATCCACATGAGCTGTGTGTTTAGCTGGGAAGGATCAGTTGGAGTTTCTTCATCAGATCACACTAACTTCATTT